ATTTGTTTACTGTAGCTGACTTTATTTGCTATTGGAATTGCTGAGACATGGAAGTGTGGAGCTTGCAATACTGTTTTATGGGGATGGAATTAAACTTTGAGCAGGAAAATCACTACCACCCTCCCTCCCGTTTAATGAATATTGCTATTTATGAGAATGAATTAGTAAGAAGCCAGAAACATAGGAAGAATGACTATCAGGAAGAGCAGGTATTCATTTGAAAAAATTGCATGCTTAGCACAGCCTGTCAGAGACATTGATTTCCAACCCCTTAATCTCTTCCTGTCCAGTTTTGAGTCAGGACAGAACCAAATGTCTTTTCAGTAAATTTACTTTTCAGTTAAGTCTCTTCTAAGAGATTGCAGTTTCTGAAATTACCAGCATGTTTTCCAGTCAGTGCTCTCAGGACTGATAACGCTCAGTGTTTATAGCTGGAGAATGGTATGCAGAACCAAGGCCATTGTTTGGTTCTGCTAAACTTCTGCACCAGAAACCAAAGGGAGGAAAAGGGGTCACACCCCTCGATCCTCCTGTGGGGAGGAGCAGACCAGACAGGTGACCCAAATTGACCAAACGAACTATTCCATCTTACAGGCACCATACTTGGTATAAATCTAAGGGATCACAAGGGTCAAGGCCTCTTGGTCCATGGCTGGCATCCTGGGAGGACTCTAGCTGTTCATCTGCCTTTGATTCCAGTTATTCCTGCATCCAGCTCCTGTCTGCTGCTGGGTCCCATGCAGGACTTCCCAGGGCTGCCCTCAGTGATGCCTGCAGTCTCAGTGATGTAGTGAGCATTATTGGGATGCAGCATGATAGCGGTTTTGTATTTATTTGCATATATTTCAGTATTTTCATTTTCATCATTATTGTTTCATTAAAGCCATGTAGTTTAGTTTCCAACCCATAAGTGTCTCTCCTTCATTCTCTCTCCTTTCTCTTTCAGGGAAGGTAAATGGGTTAATATGAACCTGTCATTCATTTAATTGCCAGCCCAGCTTTAAACTTTAACAATTCCTTTGTCCAAGCTTTGTTTTTTACATAAGAAATGTTGTCCTGACCACCAGCCATCTTTTTTTTTCACATAACCAAATCATAGAATCATAGAATCCTAGGGGTTGGAAGGGACCTCAAAAGATCATCTAGTCCAACACCCCTGCCAGAGCAGGGTCACCTAGAGCACATCACACAGGAACGCATCCAGGTGGGTTTGAATGTCTCCAGTGAAGGAGACTCCACAACCTCCCTGGGCAGTCTGTTCCAGGGCTCTGTCACTCTCACAGTAAAAAAATTTCTTCGGATATTCACCTTGAACCTCCTATGCTCCAATTTACACCCATTACCCCTTGTCCTGTCACTGGTCATCACTGAGAAAAGCCTAACTCCGTCCCCCTGACACTCACCCCTTACATATTTGTAAACATTGATGAGGTCACCCCTCAGTCTCCTTTTCTCCAAGCTAAAGAGACCCAGCTCCCTTCAGAGCTCACTTCAGAGCACCAGCATTTGGGACTCAGTTTAATCTTTGGTCTTCAGCCCTCACACTGAACCTCATGCAACAAGAGATGAAGCAAAGGACTTGCAGTGTGTGCAGACCCTTGTACTCACCATCTGCCAGAAGATGAACTTCACCCACAGTACACCAAGAAGCGGTGAGTGAACGACATGCTCAGAATTATTGTGGACTTGCTTGTGGGTAGTAATGGGGGCTCAGAGACCAACAGCAGCTGCCCAGGTAGCCACCACTGTCACTAAAAATGTGAGGAACTATTAAAAAGTGTAATTGTGCAGCTCCACAACAAGCAATACTACCACAGAGATTTTGTCTCCAGGGTCAGCCCTGGGTCAGCAGACACATGGTATTGATGCTGCATTCCAGGCTTCAACAAAATGCCACTTTCCTGAGCATCAGCATCATACTGAAAGTCTTGTCAAAAACTAAGTGGAGACAAAATCTAAGTACCACACTGGGCTAGGCAGAAGCTGCTAACAATCTGAGGCAGACAGCTCTGAACTGCAAGAATTTGGGGTGGCAGAAGTGAGACATGAACCATATTCCTGCAGCCTCCCAAGAAGTGCTGGCAGGATCAGAGAAATGGAAGAAACGACACTAATTTATTGCAGTCACATGTAAATGTTGGCATTTAACAAGAGCAGCAGCAAAAGAAAAATCAGTTAAAAGAACCTGAGAATGCTGAAAAAAGCCACAATAAATACTGAAGAACTGGAAGAGGAGCTATTTCTCATTAGAAAAGAACAAGGGTTTGAGAACTATTTGTACTTATTAAGATTGAACTGGCTTGGGACCATATGTAGTGGAAATTGAGAAAGCCAGAAAAAATCCACAGACACTTGAACAAAATGAAAAAGGGATCACAGCGCCATTTCAGGAGGCCGCAAGAGTATCAGTTGCCTCCTCAAGCTGAAAGGAATGGTAAAGGACATCAGACTTATTTAAGGTAGGCTTAAGAAAAAGAATTCATTAGCTAATGGACATCTTAGTGTATCATGAAATCCCCACCCAAGAAGGCACAATGGCAGGGCATTTTAGCTGTGATGTACAGAGCTGAGGAAATGACTAAATGTGAAAAGGTAAGAGCTAAGGAGGCCTTAAAGACAGAATCACAAGCTTACCAGAAAATTGATAACACTCGAGAGACTTGCAATGGTTGAGCAACTGTTTGATGATGAAGAGGAAAAATTAGGGCTCATAGGCGCTAAATCTATCCCCAGTGTAACCCACTTAAGTCAAACGACTCTGAAAATAGGTCTGCTCTGGTGCTCAGTGTTTTACTGGTGGATTTAAAATATTATGGTATTTTACCACATGATTTGTTCTTCAAGAAAGATTGTAACAATCACTGAGAATTAGTTCTGGAGAGTCAAATGGTGTTCTTTAACTGGAAAGAACATCCTGGGTGGCAAACCAAAGAGAACCTGGAATTGATTTTCTGTCATCCCATCCCATATTGTAGTCTATGTTACTTGTTTCACTGACATGCAAACTCTTATTGGAAGCTTTATGCACACATGTTATTTCCACACAAGATGCAAAGTTATGGAAAATCTCAGGATTTTCCCAGGAACTTGAATTATAAGCACTTCTCTTGGGAGTCTTTAAGGTTTTGCATTGCCTGCAGTTCCTACAGACAGCACACAAGAGATAGGCAGGGCACAACAGAAACAAATAGCCAGACAACAGTCGATGCTTGGCAGAGCACCTGAGTTAGTTTGGTAAATGGTAACAAGAAAAAAGTAAATTAAAAATGTTGTATAACAAAGGCAACATAGATAGATCCATCCACGACCAACCAAATCTATGCCCTTTAAGTGTGGGATTTCTCGATTCAAAAGCTAGAGTATCAAAGATGAAGTTGCTTGGGCATATGATCTTAACACCAATGGTGCAGTTTCTGAGGAGGAAATCTGGAGTTGTCTTATGCAAGTTGGAAAGCAGAAGCACAAGAGGCCTACAGAGCAGTAACTTCTCCCTGGAACATACACACATATCCAGCAAGAGAAAACTAGAGACAAACTGGAGAAGTTGCCCCAGCTGGCTATTAGAATAGTTGAATGTCACGGGGAAGTAAGTGATGGCTTACAATCAACTACTTCTAAGTTTTAAAAGCAAAGTTAAAGTCTTACATAACATTACAATAAATGGAGTGGTAATCTTGTGTGGAACAAAAAGCATAAAGAAATCTGACATACACTTTGTATGTTCAAGCCAGATTCTGGTCTTGGTACCACGAGTGGAGCTGGGTATATCTCCTAAAGGTAAAAGTCTCTTGATAGATTTTCATTTTGAGAATAAAACAGTCTGCCCATTGACTTCAGTGGATTAGTTGTGATTTATATTAAAAAGCTAAAAATACCAATCTGATCTTCCAGACATCTTTCACACAAAACATTTAAACACTTTAAAATGTTTCATTGCTGTTACAGGCCAGAGGAAACTTAAACCTGACCCTGTGGATTCCCCTTCTTGTTCTCTGCACTCAATATCATGGATACTGCACTTCTACAGCATACATAAACTGTAGCACCAACAACTTGGCAAGGTAGTATAGAGCATGTTTTGCATTTTAAAAAATGTAAAGCAGATTTTGGGGTTGCAATTCACTTCCATTCAGCTGAGTTAGGCTTCTCTCATAAAAGCACTGAATGCTCTTGTCTCCCTTTGATATAATCTGGATGAAACTACTTGCAGGGCTTGGTTCTTAAAGCTGAAAGAGGAAAGCAAAATGAATTTGTGCATCTTCCTCTGAGGTCAATGACATTTCTACTCTTCAGTAGAATTTTGCACTAATTCACTACTAATCTCCAACACAGTATTTTTTGGGCTTTCAAACTACTTCTGTATAGGACTTTGCCATGTAGTCAACAAAAATGTCAGGAATTTACATGCAATTACTTTTTCATGATTCCATTTAAAATTGCCTCAGTCTCCACCTGTACTTACTTTTAGATGAAAACTATACAGATAGTCCCATAAGACAGAAAAAACATGCAAACTGTTTTCTGCAGAAGAGAATACTAAATACTAGTTGTAAGAATAAGAATTGGTAGGAAAAAGAAATAATTTATTATTCAGTTCTAAGTGAACTCAGTTTCAATGGAATTTAATTTAGCTTTTAAGAAAGATTAACACTGCTTACAGAATTCTTTGAACAATTTTATAAGATCGCTAGTTGTGCTCTGTTCATCATCTTATTTCAGCTATTTAAAGGTATCTTAACATCTTTCAGGTTCACTGGGATTCAGTATCACTTTATTCATCATCACAGAAAAAAAGACATATAAATAATACAGTACATAGCTGAGAACGTCTAGAGGAACTGTTGCGTCTTCCATAGTTTATAACCTGGGAAAAGTGCTTTGGAATTTAGCTGTACTGTTACAACTTAGCAGAACAGCACTGAAATGAGGAACCTTTGTGTTAGTCCAGAACATACAAACAGTCTGCTTTGTTGTGTTCGTGTAAAGGGAAGAAAGCTCAAGAGCAAAACCCAGATGCACCAATTCTGTAAGTGCACCGGGAAAAGCCATGCTCACGGAAGAGTCAGTGCAGCACAGAGGTGATCTTCCAGGAGTGGGTCTTGTGACATAAGGTGGAGCTTAAAGGAGATACTTTGAGGTATTTCTAACTGGAACTACAGGTGACCAAAAACAATAGTAAGGAGCAATGGTGAGTCTTCACTTTTGTAAAATACTTTGTGGTGATTTCACTCATCAGGATTCCTTCTTTTCTTCTACTTCTAACAGTTCATCAAGGAATTCCACAACTTCACCCTAGATTAAATTTAACAGAAACAAGTTAAACCTGCACTGCAAAATGAGGGCAAAATTTTAACCATTTTAATAAAAACATAAATTGCAGTAATAGATCCCTAAATATGTTTAGCACCCTTCATACAGGAACTAGCAAACCAAGCCTATAAAATGCAAGTAAATGGCCCATAGAGGGGTAGAACAAGTACCTGCAGTAACACTAGAAGAAAAAAAGATCACACTTCTCAGTAAATCCTCTTGTACTTTTCCAGGTATTTAAATACACAATGAAATCAACAAATGCAGAAAGTAGAGGTATAAATGTTTAGAGCATCTGTTAAAATTAGGAGATTGTTGTACCATAAAACATTAAACAATCTTAGCAAGCCTCAAAATTAAAAGCAAAAGTGCTTTGTAGAGCTGTGACTTTGACTTTGCATGTCTGTTCTAACTCTTTATGTCCTCTGTTACACACTTCAACACACACCTTTTCCATTTTCAATCATAGATCTTCACATACCATGTTTCAATTCAGCAAAATTGTAAAGGACCAGAGATACTAGAATGTTTCCATAGATTCAGACCTGAAAATATATTTACAAGCTCCAGTCTGCTTAGACAAGGTATCAACACAACTTAACAATCCAACTTTATTTAACCTGCTCCTGATGTAGTTGTATGGCATATACCATAGCCAAATGTCCTCCTGCAGTCAAGCCAGAGTACTTCAGGATGATACAACCCCGCCAGTTGGAATTTACAGCCTTGTGAATCAAGCTACAGTAACTGAGCTAAAACCTGTTGGATTTACTTTCAGCCCAAGGTAACACCTTCAGTAGTGAAAAGCAAGTAGCTAACAGCAAATGAGCAGCACCATCTCAGATTGATCAAAACTCACTGTAGCAGCCATCTGCTGGCACCTGCAGAAATACCAGTATTTTCCAGTTTGCCTTCCACGTACAGTTCAGAAACAACACTGCCTGAGATGGGAGACCCCATGGGAATATGTGCATATTTAATTTTTGATGCAATCCAAATACTGAGCTGTGAGATGTGGATGCTCAGTATTACATTTCCAACCTTTTAGTCTGTTAACTACAGTATTCTGTTAAACTGTTTTAATTTAACTGCAATTTTTGTGTCCTTCCTTTCTTGACATAAACCTATGTTCTAAAAAGGTCTTAAGATATCATTTAGGTTTTTGGAAAAACAATCACTTTCTGATAGGAAAAATATTCTGCTGGAAGATCTGATCAACTCTTACTCTCATGTTTAAAATACCTATACTTAGTTACACTGAAAGCATGTCATCCTCGCTTGGATCCTCATTCCCCTTCTCCCTTTCTGCCCACCATTCCAGGTCTTGTGAACTGTATTAGGCTTCTGAGTCTGCTTGATGAAAACTGAAAACAATATTTTACAATCCTAATTACATTTTAAGCACATCTTTTGTCCAGAAAAGCACTCCTTAGGAAGACAGCCCATTCCAGACACATGCAGTTTGAGACTCAAAATTTTAGTTGACTGTTTCTGTGAGGAAAGGGCCTAAAACCAGTGTCAATTAAAATAATAAGAGGAAATAGAGAATTATTGTCTATTTTGAATATAACAATTATATTAAGGATATGGTGATTAAAAATATTTACATCATATTTTTCAGTAGTGTGATTAGCAAAGACAGAAATACTGAGAACCAAGCAAATGAAAATATAAGTGGAAGAAAAGCTGGCTGAAATAACTGCTGCTCTTGTTCACTGCTTCATGGTTCCATCTTAAAAGAATTTTGAGTTTTTGCAACTATGAAGTGGTTTTAGCAAGTCCTGAAGGATGGCAATTTATTTTGCTTTGAATTTGTTCAAAACATCTAAGTATCCAATTCACTAAAAACACAAGAAAAAATGCCAGCACTTTCATATTGCCTACTCGTCTTCCTGGTTGGAGGAAACTTGGCAATTGGAAAACAGGAATTTGACATTTCTGCACGTTTTCCTTTGTTAGAAGTATTTTGATTGCCTAAGGAGCCCAATCATGGGAGAAAACCAATACCACTTCAAAAATACACATAAAAAAAATAGCCACTAGGTCAAATAGCCACTATGCAAGCAGTTGAAAGCTACAGAAACAGGGCACAAAAGACTTCAGGTCAAGTTTTATAGCACTGCTCCTAAAACTGTGGGCAGAAGTATTTGGATGTGTCTTGAAAGACTGCAGACAGGCAGGTCCTGTTAATTCTGCATAGAGTTATGAGACTGGAAATACAGGTGTCATTCAGACTGATTCTTTTACACCTCAGGATCATAGTTTAATGAAAGAGTAATATATTAAAAAGGGATTTCTCTTCTTGGTCTACCTGCAAAGACAACCATCAAATGGTTAGAGTCTGAGAGGTAGGGTGAAAGGCATCAGCATCTATTCTGTGATGTGACTGGATGACCCAGAATTAAGTACAAGGAAGACATAGGGATTTCCATACTGTACCTTTGGTAACTCAACCATATGGGAACTTAATTAAATTCATATTGATGTCAGTCTCATCAATAAGGTAAGGTATTTCAAAGGACACAGAATAATATCCAGATACAATTCAGGGTTGTTGCTTTTTTTTTTCTGGTATGTTTACAAATCCAGAAGCATGTAAGAAGCACAAGTCTTAAATGGAAAAGGGTATTTAAAGCAAAAGTATTTGGAAACAAAATTGACTGACATCTGAAATCTCCAGTGTCTGAAACTGATCTGTAAAGGAAAGTATGACAGAAGCTGTTGTGGCCTAATGAGAAGTACTGTGTAGTAAAAGAGGTTGATTTATGGCAAAAATATAAAAATAGTTGCAAAACCAATATACATACAAAAAACACGCTGTAGTGCAACTGAATAATTGCCTGGGTGTTGGTTATTTTTGAAAAGGCAAGAACTCCAGATTACAGTTAAAGACAAAAAACCCCATAGTTGAAACATTTTTATCTGTGCCTTCATGGTCAGAATGTAAAACATCTGCAGGTTGTCCATACTATGGCTGGCAGCCTAATGAAAAGGGGAAAATGCTGTTAGAAAAGCTGATTACATTGTCACAGTAGCAGCTACAACCACACAGATCACTGTTCTTGCCCCATTAGCACTTACTTGACATTGCACCAGGCATTCTGCATGGCTGAAGTCAGCAAGTTTTTCACAGGTGTTCATTCCAGGGGAAAAGCCTCCTGCCTGCTGATATCTAATAACTTCATGCTGGCCTGCAGATGTGGAGCCTGCAAATGATTCTCTGATATGACTTAAACATTCCATGTAACCGAGTTGCTCCTGTTATCCAGTATGCTCTTTGGCTCCTACCTACCTGAAGGACAGCAAATTTTACATGCAAAGTCAACTGCAAAGCCATCATTCCCTCTGCTGCCAGATACAGGAGGGGGAACAACAGTCACCCAGCACTAATGCAAGTTACATAAATATGCTGCCCAGACACAGTGCTGATGTAAATCAGAGTTGAGCAAGATATGGCCCAAAGTGTGATGTAGCTACCTGTAAATCAGTATGCAAAGTCTGACTTAAGCTTGGGGGACAGAAAGGTTTGTTGCCAGACTAGTACATGCCTGATAATTAGGCAGACAACAACTGAAAGGTATGCACATGTGGACTGTGTGGTCAGCTGCAGTGAAGCATGTCCTTGTTGGTTCACAGTCACTGCCTCCTGGTTTGCATTGGAGGCCAGGTACCCACTGCAGGTACAACAGCTCTGCTGCCACCCCACGACCTCCCTCCCTGTGCTACCAGTCTCTTCCGTCTCCCAGTCCACAGACAGCCAGTGGAAAGTGGGGTTGAGAGCAAGGATGTACAGGAGAAGATGCGACAGGTATAACCTGAAATACGGGACGCATGATATTGAACAGCAGCAAGGGAATGCTCCCAGACTAGTGTGAGGGGTAGAAAGAATCAGAGAAGCTGATCTGATCAACTGGAGCTTCTAATTATCTGTTAGATATGCAAATGGAGCACCCTTGATTTAGATTAACAACCAACAGAGGCCCAAACAGAAAGCACAAGTTTGGTACCACAGTAATGAAAGAAGGCTTTACAGAGGCTATGTGAGTATGTGGATTAGAATAAAAAATAATTTAAAAACAGAGCCCTTGATCAACGTTGAATAAGCTAACCCAGGCTAGGTTGAGACTGGTGCATTACCATTAACAAAGCTAGATTATTTGAAAAAATAAGTCCTAAAAAGGAGAAAAATGCAGAACTCCTCACTTATTACCACAAGCTGACTGTCCAAGACCAAGGCACACGCTGGGCCAAGGACTGTTGCCGGCCCTTCCTTATGCAATATTAAATGTTGCATTCACACACACAAAACACAACCTCTTAGAAGAAACATCTGTACTTCAGGACTCCTAGCCAGCTATTAAACAGCAAAGAGCAAAAGCTACTGATACAAAGCTCAGTTATGGCCCACTTGAGACTGATGGTCCAGCACCAACTTCTCTTTTGACAGCAGCATTTAAAAACAGTAGCAATCAGTAGCAGTTGCACTGCTCACTGACAGACCCAGATGTTTTGCCTTTGGTTGCTAAGACTAAGTATTGCCTTCTGCATTGTGAATATTAATAACTTACAGGTTTGTTGCTTCCACCTAAAATCTGTTCTGTCCTTTCTTAGAGTGGACTGGAAAAGTTCTGGGGAAAAAATAGCTTTTTTGCAATATCCCCTACTGTCCATGCAGTTTTTCTGATGTCCTTTTCCAGAGGGATTCCATACTAACTGCAGTGGGATAGTCTATTATTTGGGGAAATAACAGAGAATATTTAAATAACAGTGTTATGGAATGAATTAAGATCTACAGAGAAATACTATAAAGGACATGCTTTCATGTGTCACAATCAATGAATGAGCAAGAAATAGCCTTTAATCTAACTCATCCAACAAACTGAGTCTTAAAAGACAATAGAGAAAAAAGAATTGGCTGGATCTTTGTTTCCATATAATCTATGACCTAGAAGGAAAATATTTATCCCACAAAATGACCCCCAGCTGTCCTTCACAGAAAAAAAATCAGATTTTGCTAAAGTTCAAAGGTCTTAATGACTGAAAAATTTTTCAGTGTTGAGAGAAACACATTAGACACCTTTATTTATTGGGTGTGAATGACAAGGTTGTGGTAGTGGGAGGGGTTGCAGAGGTGACCTCTGTGAAGAGGGGTGAGGGCTGCCCTGTAACTAATGAATAACTACCTAGTAATTAATTTGAGTAACTAACAGGAGTAGTGACAAGGAATTAGGCTCATGAAAACCATCAGATTTTGTTGAAGGATGAATAACTGTCCTGCAAGAGAGAACACAAAGGTTTGATACGGCCATCTGTGGAGGATACATGCTCCATGGCCTGACAGTGCAACTGCACTGCAAGTACGCACCATGCAGCTCACTGGCCAGCAGTATTTTTTTTGGGAAAAACATTATTTCAGGATAACAGTAAGGCATGTGTCAATGAATGGCTCAGCCTGAAAGGTTTATTCAGCCTTGAATCAAGAAAATGTTCTTTGATCTAACCTTCAGTTAAAACACGCAGGTTTACTGCAACCACCTCAAAGCACTCCCAGATCCTGCATGAGCAGTACAGACCAGACTGGACATTCCTCACATTCTAGCAGGGGGAAAAAAACCCCCTCGATTCTTTGTGCAGAAAAATTATTTGGCTCTTACCTTGTTTATTTTTCAGATACCTAGTCCACAGTATGACCCACTGTCACATGCTTGTAGGGTTTGTTTGTTTTTTTCAATATTAAAAGAGCTTAGTTCTTTACATGTATGTTAACTTCTTTTCTCAAAGATTTTTCCATTTAATTTTTAATTATATATTCTGGACATGTTAACTGTTCCCTTCCTGTATACTACAGGAGACTGCAGTACACTGTATTTATTACAATACTATTTCACAGTAATCCAGTAAATGTGCTCTCCTCTTATGTTTTACAGGCATTACAAAAATGTTGAGTCAACCCAGTTTCAGAGCAACTTCAACACTGTTCCCATTGCTCTGAAAACAGAAGCCTCCTAGTGGCTTTGTTTCTGAGCTCTGCTTATGCTCTCTTGGCTGCTTTATGCTTCATGTAGAAGCTTAAGAAAATCAGGGCAGATAAAAACTCCTCAGGGACATCCTGCTATTTAAGCCCAACTGTGCTTGCAGCTTCCCCTGATAGGTGCTTTAAATGGAAGGAGAAACACTTTTAACCAAGATACACATTCAGTGGTAAAAAAGCAAACAGGGAAAGATGGAAGCTTCTGGAGACCGAGTGACATGTGCAGTATCCTTACTAGGAAATGATGGTGAAAAAATCTAATTTGCTTTTTTTATAAAGAAATGTATGTTGAACAGGGACCATAACAATGACAATTAGCTGCCAGCTTTCTCTGAAACAGCTGTCACCATCTCTCCTCAGCGTAGCAGTGCTGTTCTAGTTCTGCTGGTCCACAGGCAGGACAGGGTTTACAACTTGCCATTGTGAGTGCACTTGTATAAATCACTTGAAAACATGCCAAAAGTGAGTTAATAAAGCTGAAAAAGTTGTTAGATTCCTGAAAAGAAAAATAGGCTGAATTCAGTTTATTATTTGCTAATAGTAGTCCACTGTGACCTTGTACATCAATGCTATTCTCTATGTTCTCTTTCCACCAGTCACATTAGTTCAACACTTACTCTCCTTTGCATCACACTTGGGAATGGAGCATTTGAATTTCAGCTACTGTACAAATGGACACACACATTATACACAAATAAGAAGAACAAGATGTCAAAAGTGGGTCAAAACTGCAAACAGTTTTTCACCTACTGATTAAGTACTGAAAGAAAAATCATGTTGTAGGATCGGTCCAGCCAAATATTTGTGGTTCTTATGTAATTTAGAACAGCTAAGTAGCTACCCCTGAAAAAAAAAATATTCAAGAACACAGATTTTATGGGCTGCCAGAAACATGTCTCCTACAATTAGTACAGTGCTGAAGTTCTATCTACACTACCTGAGCATCTGGCTCTTAACAGCCTTGTAGTTCACTATATACATCTGTGCAGTACTAGTTGTCTCTCTTATAATCTTTATGCAATACACATTTGAACAGAAATCAAAAGGTTCCATGGCCAACTGAGATGACTACAGTGTTATGTTCCTTTAGCTTCACTGTGGAAAGCTATAAGGATATTTAATAATAATTAATTTTAAGAAAAAGCAACTTCTAGCTAGTTTGCAGTAGCATTCTGTCACCTCTACTGTGCTATATGTTTGAACTAAAGTTTTTAATTTCCTTGTGGAAAAAACATTAATAAAGTAACATGAATAGGACAGTATTTCTTGTAGTGACATATGAAAAAAACATTACTGCATGTTCCATCCTTTGCAATTAATGCAGTGTATTATTGGAAAATCCATGTTCTCACTCGCTTTGCTAATGGGATTAAAAAAAAACACATTGGTGATCTGGGATATGGGAGCACAGAGAAGTTTGAAGAAAGTGAGATTCTCCACTTAGGAATAATGACATATTCACATAGGAAGAGATCCTTTTGCCACATCAATCCTTTTGCTTTACTCAAGAAACGTGAATTATTTTCTTTCTGAAGATTATTTTAGGGGCTTGTTGGGCCACAAGCCATTTCACAGAAAGCAAACATGGATCACAGAAACTCACAAAAGGTATGGTCTATGGCCCAGAAGCACATGGCTGAAATATACAGAGTGCACTAAAAAGAGAGGCTGCCTTCATCCTTAACAATTTCTCATAAAGCTCTTACTGTAACACCTTATCTAGGTTTTTCATCAGTTTTCAGCATTCCTATGGAATAAACTTTTCTATCCATGCCAGGAGAAATATTAAACCAAAAATAATTCCACTTACAGTACCAGGTCTTGCCCATATAGCAGAAACGGCAAGGTAGCGATTTTACCTTTGTGCTGTTCCTTCTCTGTCTGGACTCCCTGGAAGGCTCTGTCAGCCAGAGACAAGTTCTGGTAGCCAGGGATTTGAGTTAATTACCAAAAGCCAGACCCAAGCCAGCAGCCTGGACAGCCTCCATCTCACCAGGTTCTTCAGCCCTAGTAAGGGAGGGCACAGAAGCCCTCCAGCTTTTCCCCAGGAGAGAACAGTAACTTTCCTAATCCAAGTAGAGTATGGGGTATGGATATTTGTGGCATGACCAGTAATTTTGGTTGTTTAAACCACATATGCAATCCAGTGTAATGCAACTTCCTAGACACTTCCCTAAAAGTTTAATTTCTGTTTCTACTCTACTTCCCTCCTGTAGACTGCAAGGTCATTTATAATTGCACTGGTGAAATGGGCTGCAGGCACGAATGCCAGCAAATGAATGCTTGTTTGTTCTATACACAGTGCTTGAGGCTGAAGATTGTTTCTATAATCCCTTCTTGCAACAATATATGGGAAAAGCTCTCACAATGGACTGCTTCTCCCCTTCCTTAATTACTCATCCCTGTGTTTTGAAGCAGATGTGAAGGAAGGGAAAAATTACACATTTAACTTCTGTCTAATACAAGAAAACATTATGGGCAAAGCACAAACCAGCAAGGGAATATTAAAAAGTATTTCACACCCTGATGAAAATCCATGCAGACTAGTCCTCATCTAAACTTAACCTTTTAACAAGCTTATGAAACTGTCTTTCACAGAGCTTTATCACGATGGAAAGTCTTCCCAAAGTCTGGTAACCTTGCAATGGAATTTCACGTATAGAGTTGCTTTCAGGTCACTAGCATACTGAAGGCAGCACAGACATGTTATTACTTCTCCCCTATAAAATGCTATTTCTCCCTATGTGCTGGATAACGTAAAAATTGCAAAGGTGATTTCACTTTTAACATAAACTATCTTTCTCTTTTCTAACTAAAAAAGACCTCAGCAGTGCTCACTACAAGCACCCTGCCCCATGCCATAACTGAACATAGCTCTTTGCCAACACCAGCAAAACTATTCCATCATTTTAAGATCTTTTTTAAACTCTTAAATGAAAGGTTCCAAAAACAAAGCAAAACAAAAGGCAATCCAAGGCCTCCATGATTTATACTTCAATTTTAGCTGTGGGAGACAAAAAAAATGCAACAATTTAACTACTTTCCTTGCACAAATAATCCACTTTATATATTTCCAGTCTAATAGTAGTCATTATATGTTATTTGGCCATGAGTTCCAACCATTAAGAAGCAAGACTGGGTGATCAAAATATTACTGTGTAGAAAAAAGTGACAGATAACAATACCTTCTTTTGACAAAAACTACAATTTAGGTGGTTAATTATTAATGAACTTACAAAGATCTTTAGATCTCACTTAAACAACAGAAAAAAACATCCAAACAGAAAATACCTGGGTTTTAATATATGTACTACTTCTCTGCCCCCAGGTGTTGTAAAGTGGATTTTCTTTTTTTGTGGGTTCAGTTAATTGTATTTACCTTTGTGTTAATAATGTCCATATTTTTATAAATGGCACCTGATGTTATTTTGGTTTGTTTTTTATACTCCATTTACAAAAGAAAAACAATTACAATTGTACAAATGTTTATAATAATTTTTCCATCTTAGTAAAATCCTGGAATTCATCTATGTATCATCTGTACTTTTATGTGATTGCTGTTTTTTTTGACCTTTTTAGAAAACTCACCTCATCATCATCCATCAGATGTTCCTTTGCAAATTCATACATTTCCAACTGGAGCGTTGTTATATTGTGGTATCGAACTGCCTCCTATTAAAAAACAAAATTTCTATGTTACTTGAGGGTAACAATAGAGGGGAGTGTCAACACAGGTCACCTGAAACTGTTCTAGCGAGGTCAGACCCAGACTCAGAAGCAAGTAGATCCCAGGGGATCTATGTTTGAGAAAGGAAACAGCAGAATAGCAAGGAGTGTATCCAATGCCTTCTGTGAATCCTTCTGAACACAGGCTCCATCGGTGTGAGAAGAACAAAGCACTCTCCTCTTTCTCATGTTTCAAAGCACTGGCAAGTCTGAGAACAAGGAATGAGACAGCCAGAGCTGAGCAGCAGCCTGTGCCTGCATTCCAGTGGGCTTTGGACATGAGAAAACCTGTCTCCCTGCGCGCTGGCGTATGGCAGCAGGCAGTTCTGGGAAAAAGCCACACGAAGCTCTTTTGCATGATAATGATTCACTATCCCAGTCTGAGTCTAGGCTAGGGAAATTCTGCATGGTCAGCCACCTGTCCCTCCTCAGTTCCCTGGCTGTTTGTCTGGAAGCAAAACAGAAGACTTCCCCTTTCACAAGAACATCTAAAGCCTAGTGCTGGAGCCAAATGCTGCTGTCACTCCATTACCACTTTGTGAAGATAAACCAGAGGCATTATGGTTTTCATGGCAAGTGACTAGGACAGCAAGCAACCTCTATTCATAGTCACATGGATCAAAGTACAAGGAAGTACAGCTGTGTGCATTTAATATTTCATATTTAAAAATTAAATTATCTATAGTCCTGCCAAGTGACCAACAGAACATTCAGAGTTAATGTGCAGGGCTCTTGTTCTGTCCTCCCTGCACGCATACACCAGAACTGTCTGCAGTTTTGATACTGTTGCTGCCCCTCTCTCCCAGGACTGTCCAACATTGACTCCAATACAGCTACAGAACACAGCTCTGTTCCCAAAAGCAGTGAGAAAGGAGTGGTCCCCTTCCCCTGTGAGCTCAGCCTCGCTGCTGCTGCCTGAAAGAACCAAACACATTTTTTCTCTTCTTCTCTCTCAGCAGACCCTGCAGGGTAGGCCTGGGCTCCTCAGGCTTCAGGGAGCCCTTATAGTGGCCTTCTGGTATCTGAAGGGGGCCAACAGGAAAGCTGAGGAGGGACTTTTTACAGGGGTATGGAGCGATAGGACAAGGGTTGTTTCAAACTGAAACAGGGTAGATTCAGGTTAGACATCAGGAAGAAATTTCTTCCTGTGAGGGTGATGAGACATGGGAACAGGTTGCACAGGGAGGTTGTGGCTACTCCTCCCTGGAAATGTTAAAGGCCAGGCTGGATGGGGCTTTGAGCAACCTGGTCTAGTGGAAGGTGTCCTTGTCCATGGCAAGCGGGCTGGAACTAGATGATCTTTAATATCCCTTCCATTCTAAACCTTTTTATGATTCTATGATTTACCATCATAGTGTCTGCAGTACATCTCTGTGTACAACTTTCTATGTGATCTTAATTAAACAGTATGTGTTAAACTACAGAACCAATAGATAACCCCCATTTTCCCAACCTCTGGCCCACTGAGTTGCAGGGAAGTATGCAAATGTGTCTAAAAGGCATTTTAAGTAATTCACCTACCGATCTGGGCTGAAAATCCTCTTCTTTAAGTCCCCATTTGTCTTTGTGGTACTGATAATACACCATGTTCTGTTTCATCACTTCATCTTTCTGGTCAAACAGAAGGTAACTAGCAGCACAAGAAGCTGCATTCTTCATGTCATTCACTAATTAATAAATACAAACAAAAAAATATAGATAAGGTAAATGAAAATATTCCTATAATCTAAGCTCTGAAAAACTCGGATGGAAACAGAACCTATTTTCTGTCTCCCCACCAGCTGCATTGAAATAAAAAAATTGCTTCCCAGAAAGGATATGCTATTTTTGTGTTCTGAGAAAGGTAAGGCCATGAATCAAAAATGGGGACTTACCTCTAATGGTTTTCTGTGAAAATCCTAACCTAATATCCCTCCTAGATATCCCAGTATCAGTGAGGTATGACCCCACAGCTTGGTGATCCCCACTGGGGCGTTTATTGAAGAAAAAACATAAATACAAATTACCACCCCTGTCCCATTTCTTTTTACTAGAATACATAACATTTATTTCCCTTGCCTGCTAACTGCAGTTACACAGGGACAAAAGACACCAGGCAGCTCAGACTTTCTACCCCAGAAGAGGTTAAAATGCAGATTCTGGAGGCCACTATTTACATTCTAAAGCATTATAAATGGAGGGAAAATACTATGAATGGAAAAATGACCCACATCATTCCCATTGTATTTAAACACATTAAATCACTACTTACATTTATAATAAGCAAACTGCAGGTAATGGTACATTGTGGCCACAAATTTTTCAACAACAAAGCCTCCTATAATGGGTGTCAGATTACTCTCGCATTGCACTTTGCATGCAAGGACTTCAATATAATGATCTAGAATGAAGAAAACAACACCACAGAATATGGATGGTGCACACCGACTTGTTACAACCCCTCCCATTAGCTACCCCTTAAAATCTGCCCTTGTAATGCTCTCCTGGGTCCTGTGTAGCTGGATCTTGCTGCTTGGAAGTACTGAGCATCTACAACTCCATCTGAAGTACATATCAAGTACTGATACTCAGCCCTTCCATAAAAATCAGTGCGGTCTGGGGCTTGAAATGTACCAAAGCTGCAATTCCAGAGAACTAAGCGGTTAGGTTTCACTGACACCTACAGGCAGTCCGTGGAGGTAGGTTTTGTATAGGGTGTTAGGAAGTATCACATCATTTCTTAACTGTGAATTTAATAGTGTTATTTTTTTCTCATGAGAGCCTTTGTAATTTCATTAAATTATTGGATAAATAAGGTCCACATATTGCTGAGTACAACCGTGTAACAGGGAGATACAGCAAGTGATTGCAAAATAAATCTCCAGAGATGGCTGCATTTTGTGCCTGCAGTTTGGATGTTCTAAATGATAAGAAAGACATGAATATGCTGCTCACTACAGAACAGCTTTCAGCCAGAAATGTGTGAGTTCACAAGCTTAACAGGTCTGCAAAAGCTTGAGACAACGGGATAGCTATCTTAGAAACCATCTTATCTTCAAGATAATGCCTTCTGAGAAAACCTTCTATCAAAGAACTTCAAGCCTTTTCAGGAAACATCACATTAGGTGACACCACTGAACAGAAGCATTTTAAAACCTTAGTTTCTCTGTTAGCCACCTTTGGCAGGTGAAAGCAAGTTAGCTAAGCTTTTGCAGCAAGTCAGAGACATGAGTCCCTCAGTGAAGTGATCCCATGAAAGGAGGACAGCTGGCTTCCTAACACAACTCATTGCTCAGGGATAATTATGTACCTAGCCCAATCACCAAATACTTCTGCTTAACATTATTTGCTACATGTAATTTCTGCAGTGAAAACCTTGGAGGCAGAATATATCTCTCTAGAGTAAGAGTACAATTAAGGACAGGCAGTGCAAGTATATTTGAACTTTATTACCTCAAGAACAAGAGTTGAAATGTGTGCACACAGCCATGATGACATCTTGCAGTAACTCACTCCTACTTTGCCACCTCCCCACTCCTGCTGGGAATTGTCCTTTCCTTCCAAAGAGGAAGAGGAAGGATGACAGCAAGTGCCAATCACAGCTGAGCATGGACACTGTGCTCTTTAAAGTGGCTTGGGGGTTATCCTGGTAACAGGGCTCTGACCTGCTGGGGAAGAAAGCCCGTGTTTCTTGCTTCACTGCTTGTGACTTGACCTTCACTCCTTATCTGCTGTCCTAGGCACCTGCCTGCTGTGCCCAAGAATAAAGCGAGGCTTGAGGAATAGCCAGCAACAGCTATTCCATGTCAGCTGTTTTGGTGGGTACAAGTTCCACACTGCCATAACCTGTGAAGCTGCTCGTGTACTTTACCTTAACGTATCAATGTATTTCACAAGTTTACCCCTCACCAACACATCTGATGGCTTTAGGACAAAATGTTGAGCTGGTTTCCCTTCTGGAAACTTAGAAATTCTGTTGCATTTTTCAGGTCTTTGACTTTGCTAAGAAAACATGCAGGCATTCCCCACAAATACTGTCCACAACACTGAAGCCGAAGCACTGCAGAAATGACTCATTTCTTTTGCTACCAAAGAGCACAGGAAAAGAGTACGTGCCATTTTGACAGCAATCAAAAAGGTGGTATCTCTTTTCTTTGCAAAGCAATGGATGGGTTTTTTTTAAGCTACACACTAAAGAAAAAGAAATCTTACCTGCTGGTAAAACTCTACTGTAGGGAAGATGAAAATAGGCAACAGAAAACTGTCATATTTATGAGAAAGGAGGTATATATACACAAACCAGAGGGCAGAATTTGAAGGCAAGCTAACCACTGAGCCTCAAAGGCAGCCACACTGATATTAAAATTACAGTCAAGAGACCTGTCTGCATAACTATTGCTAGCTGGATGGAGTAGTTGTTATTACTTACACTTCTATTTTATTCTAAAACACACTCATTTCCATGTTAATTTTAAGAGCTCTATTCTGATTTTCTGACTGCCCTCATTTATGTTACTGAAAAGAAGACAAAAGTAAACCAGAATTAAAGTGGTTTTCAGTGAATCTAATTAACTCATATTGGCCCAACCTGAGCAGAGGGTACCATGTGCATTTCATACTGCAAACTGAAGAACAGAAGACAAAAGTAAACCAGAATTAAAGTGGTTGTCATGGAATCTAATTAACTCATATTGGCCCAAACTGAGCAGAGGGCACCATGTGCATTTCATACTGCAAACTGAGGAACCGGACCTAGGTAACCAATCCTATGGATAAAAAGCACTTATGGGACATCTTTCCTGACTGCTTCCTAAGCACTCACCTGCAATGGAGAGGTAGAAGTCTTTAAAATCTTTGATCTCTCGGGAGCCTTCACAGGCTGCTGTACAGTCATCGTAGGCTTTGAAGAAATCAGGAAGAGCAAGTTCCATGTCCGTGATGGATGTTCTCCAGTTGTCACCATTATATGCTCTCACAGCCCTGACGAAGAGATTCTGAAAAATTGGCAGGACTGAAAACCAACAGTAACTGACCTATGGAAAGCTGTCTGTAAATTCAAATACAGTGAATAATGTCTCTGCATTTCTGGATTACGATATAAGCTGTTATCCAAGTAATATCAGCACAACAAATACACACAACTAATGGATTTTACCAGGTATTTCCTAGAGATCACAGTAAGTCATTTCCTTTCAGATCAACAAAAAAATCTGCTGGGAACCCCAAATGTCCTAGTGATTTCAAGGTGTGCTGCCACTGCACTTGTGCATTTGAGTGACTCCATACACTTGCTTAGCTCCAGTAGTTAGTGCATCTCAGTGATCCGCATAGCTTTCAGGTATGCCCCTGCCTGTGATCTTCTGTGACTCATGGAACAGTGAAAGGCACTAGAGGTTGAGCATTACTGAATGCATCAAGAAGGCAGAACAGAAATGACTGAGGAAGACAGTAAGAGGGAAAGAAGAGTAAGAGCTGAGAACACCTAAGCAAATGAGAGTCTTGAATCTCACACAAAAAGAGAAGCAATAGGCCATTTCCTAAAGACTAGACTGAATAAAAAGCATACCTCATAAGGCTTTGTCTCCAAGTCTTTAATATGCTCCTCAGCATCAGGTATGCTCTTATAGAAGGCCATGTTCCTTTGCATCATTTCATCATCTGGATGCTTCAGAAGAAATGTGTGAGCTGCTGCAATGGCTTTTGGAAGATTATTAGCCTACATAGGGATGGGATAAAGAAGAAGGGGTTGGAAAAGGTCAGAAACACTTCATAGTTTCTCAGTTTTTTGTCAATGATCTCTTCTGCAGCCTCTGTACTCCAAAATTTACTTATACTGAAAACACAGTCTCAGCAGATTTGGAAGATTATTAGCCTACATAGGGATGGGATAAAGAAGGGGTTGGAAATGGTCAGAAACACTTCAGTTTCTCAGTTTTTTGTCAATGATCTCTTTTGCAGCCTCTGTACTCCAAAATTTGCTTCTACTGAAAACACAGTCTCAGCAGACACAATGCAGTAAAATGCATACAATTCTCCTCAGTTTTACTGCTAGCTACATCACTATGAACATCTGTTTTTAAAATTTTATTTTAAGAATCTGTTATTTTCACAAAAAGCACAGCTTTTTTCCCCTTCCCCCTCCCCTGCTCATAAAGCTGACAAGATACAAGAATACACTGTTTATCCTGTGTGAGATGAATCTCACAGCAGTTACAGATACTAACTATGGATACTAGACAGGAGTCACCACTTACCACATTTACATGGTGTTTATATTGCTTATTTGCCTAGCAGCACAGAAGACAATACTACAACAATGAATCTTCTTGATGGTTTTACAAAGTTAGAGGAAACATCAGGGACTTGCTCAATTGCTGTGTCCTAACCTATTATGTGATTTTTTGTATCCATTTTAAACCTAACTTTAAACCCCGTCAGAGATACTTTGTGAAGTATGTATTCCTCATTTACAACAGCATGTGCCAAATATCTATGCAGTTCTGTGTGTATGCATTTATATTTTTATTTTATATATTTCCACATTTTTATAAACTAGACAGCATGTCTACAAATATTTAGGAAAAGTGAGATATAAAGTAAAAGTTTTAAGTGGTTGTGAAATGTCAGAACCTTTTTTCCCTTGGAAGCTAAGATCCCTACCAACATACTCAGTGTCTTGATGTGCAGGAAACACAGAGCTCCACCTCACATCTGAAACAGCTGCTGGAAGCCAACCTAAAAAACTAGGAGCACGAATGACGAGCATGTACGCACATGCACTCCTTCTGTTTGCATCCACAGAGAGTACCCTTCCATTTCAGAAAGAAGCTCGGGAGACAACGACACCAAAGAAAGACTTCAGCCCTAACACGAGCTCCGGCTGCTGTGCTGCTACAACTGTCCCGGTGCTGGAACTCTGCCAGCTGCCCTTCCTGGCTCTCCAAAACTATGCACTTCCAGGCAGCCCAGGCGGTACTAAGCACAAACGGGAATCTCAGCTGCACTTTCGTCAAACGCCTGGTTTCTTCTCTGCTTTATGCTTTAACCCCGTGTGCTTGTAGGCTGACGGGTCTCTCATTTTTGCCTAGTCTGTAATTCACTCTTGGTTTCAATTTTCACCACTAAAAAAATAAAATAAAACAAAATAAAAATATGTAGAAACACATTCCTAAGTGAACTTGGCGGCTCCGAGAAGCTCCCTCCAGAGGAGCAAGCAGCAGCACAGAAACATCTACTCCCAGAATCTAAGACGTGGCACAATTTCACTGTTGAGTACACCCGAATAAACAGAGCCACTCTTAAAAAAAGACATAAAACGCATCTGTCCCCCTTCCTCCTACATTATAAATGCTGTTGGCACGGTTGGGGGTGGGGAAAGTTGACATTCCTTTCTTCAGAAAACCACCAGTCAGGAAAAGTCCTGTGTATGTAGCAGTTTGTAGCTCCAGAAGGCCCATTCTGAGCTTCCCAAGTGAGCGGTTAAGAGCACAGAGCTGGACTACAACGTCCTAAGAAACACATTGTAAACAAGTGACACTAAAGGCAAAACCACCAAACTTGCAGGGCACAAACCAACCGCAAATGTTACGGAAAAACAGATGAAAGGCAGGAGGAGGGATTTCTCTGATCTCCCTCTCACATTCCTACCTGCCTGTCACCTAAGCGTATCAGAAATGGTAAGCAGGGATGATCTGTGCTGTGATCCACCCGTTGCGAGCTTTGTCTGTATCACAGGGGTGGAACAAATTGTTAAAATAACACAAGGAATGGAAGCATTTGTGGTGCTGTCATTTTGGTACCCATACAGAGCTTGGAGAAGGCGAGTAGTGCCTGGCCACCCTGTCACTCAAAATGAACGTCTGCTGCTTGATGCCTTCTGGCGTGTGCAGAGGCTGTAAGTGTAAGTTCCTCTGTACAGCCTGGCTTTAAGCGCACCAAAAGATGCCCGTGTGACCCCGTGCATGTGGTTACTGTTCTTGCTCTATGAGAACACATTGCCTTGCTTCTGTTTGTGTTATTTGGGAAAACCATGCACAGTTTTCATTAGAAAACCTCTCCAACAAGTAAGACACCACAACAGCTAAGAAGATGTGTGTTTTCAGGCAGCAACCTCAAAAAGAACGTGCAAGCATGCAGCCTTGTTGTGACATATACTGGGATATACTGGGAGTGAACCCCTAAAAGAGAAAACAATCCAACCAAATAATTCAGCCTTGTTTTTTCCCCCCCAGATGACCCATTGCAGTAACCCGAGGGGATGGCATGAGGGAGGGAGCTTGATTTAGAGAGCAGAAGATGAAGATGTGAAGGAAGGAGATGAAAAACGTTTCAGAGGAGGTTAGAAGAAAGTAAGATGAATGGCAAGAGGCACTGGAGGGGCTGTTGTGGGGGACTTGCTGGATGAGTTGTGGAAAAACTGCTTGAGAGAGAGGTGGACAGTTACTCTGCGGGCAAGCAAAGGGACAGAAAAGGCACACAGTGGCCCCACTGTGGGTCACATGAGGTGAATGGGAGGAAGGGGGCTGAAAAAATTGCCAGGGAGAAGATGACGAAGTGCAGGGTCAGCAGCCCAGCAGGGCAGGAACGGGGGACCTCCCCACAGAGGGAGAGAAATGGAGGTGGGGCAGACAATTCGTGGCTGAACTGGTGTGTAGGAGGAGACGGGGAATGAGGCTACGGACAAGAGGAATCTGTTGTGAGGGCCCACCCGGAGCTCTCAGCACGACAGGACCTTTTTCCAGCTCTGGGTACACGAGGCACCCGTGTCCACCGCGGCACTTGGATGCTGCCAGGCACAGTTTGCCTGGAGGATCACACACCACGGGGCAAGCCCTGGGGAGCCGAGGCTGGGGCGGGCAGCAGCGGCAGGGCAGAGAGGCAGGACGAGACGGGGCGGGGGGGG